ACTTGAGAACAGGGAACTTGTCTTTTTCATCACTCTATTCCCTGAAGCTAGGACAAATGTTAACTGATTGATTGATTCATTCATTCATTCATTAGCAGGAAATGTGTAAAGTTGATATGAAGAAAACTATGAAACTTGACTATAGGAAAAAATAAATCCCTGGATATTTACCTGAAGAAAAAACAATAACACTATCTCAAAAGATATATACACCACCATGTTCATTATAACATCCTATATAATAAAAGCTTAATATGTTAAGTGTCTGGGCGACTGGTCCGTCGTTCAACCAATCAAAGTGTAATATGTTAATGACACAGTAAGGCTGCTCAACCACTCGCTATGATGTGCACTGACCACTAGGGGACAGATGCTCCGACTGGTAGGTTAGCATGCTGTTGGGGTCCAGCTGATTGGGACTGAGTGAAATGGGCAAGATACGCCCTGGAGCCCTTCCAGGGTCCCTCCCTGGCTGGCCAACCTTCTGCATTCCTCCCTGGTCCTGATAGTGCACGAGTGGGGTCTCTCGGCCTGGTCTGCACCCTCTTGCAACCCGGGACCTCTCGGGGGAGGTCGGAGAGCTGGTTTGGCCCAATCCCGCAGTCCAGGCTGAGAGACCACACTGGTGCCTCTACCAGTAGTTGTTTATAATAGCTAGGATGAGATAACATCCTAAGTGTGTATCAATGGATGAATGATTAAAAAAATGTGATGAAGAAATTTCTGCATTATTGAGAGTTTTTAGTTGTCATGTATTTTCTCAACAAAAGTTCAACTGCCATCACATAGAATTTGATGACATTTTCTCCAGGGTAAAAGGATTTCTCATAACGGCAAGTTTTGAGAGTTGATTGGTAACACCATACTAAAAAATTTTCTTCCTCAATCACTTTTGGTAAGAAGCATAGCATAGTTATGGAGAGCAGAGTTGGAGTCACAATTGTAGCAATAGCAACTACAATAACATCTATTTTCATTATGGTCAACATTTGAGTGTTCACTGTGCAACAGAACACAACTATTATAAACAATGTACATAAATGCACTCATTTATTCTCTTTATAATGTTACTAGAGGCCCAGTGCACAAAATTTGTACACAGGGTGGAGGAGTGTCCCTCAGCCCAGCCTGCACCTTCTCCAATCTGGGACCCCTTGAGGGATGTTCAACTGCCTGTTTAGACCCAATCCCAGTGGGTATAGTTATGGAGATCCCGGGTGGGATCAGGTCTAAACAGGCAGCCAGACATCCCTCTCATAATCCAGGACTGCTGCCTCCCAACTTCTCGCCTGCCTGCCTTCCTGATTGCCCCTAGCTGCTTCTCCTACCAGCTTGATCACCCCCTAATCACTCCCATGCCAGCCTGATTATTGTCTAACTGCTCCTCTGTCAGCCTGTTTGCCCCCAACTTCCCTCCTCTGCCAGCCTGGTCACCCCTAACTGCCCTACCCTGCATGGTTGATGCCTCCAACTGCCCTCCCTTGCAGATCTGGTCCCTCTCAACTGCCCTCCCCTGCTGGCCATCTTGTGGCCATATTATGATAAACGTAGGGGGCAAGATCTTTGACCACATGGGGCAGCCATCTTGTGTGTTGGAGTGATGGTCAATCTGCATATTACTCTTTTATTAGATAGGATAGAGGCCTAGTGCATGGGTGGGGGCCAGCTGGTTTGCCCTGAATGGTGTCACAGATCAGGGTGGGTGTTCCCTTGGGGTGTGGGGTGGCCTGGCCGAGGGGCCTGTGGTGGTTTGCAGGCTGGCCACACCCCCTGACGACCCAAGCAGAGGCCCTGGTATCTAGAATTTATTTACCTCCTACAATTAAAACTTTGTAGCCTAGAGGGGAGCCAAGCCTCCTGCTTGTTCCATGGCAGCAGCCATTTCTGTTTGGATTTGTTTACCTTCTATAATTGAAACTTTGTAGTCTTGAGTGGAGGCCTAGGCTGGCCAGGGTGTGTGCAATGCTTGGCTTCCTCCATTGCTGGAGAAACCCAAGCCTCTCAACTGCTCTGTGGCTGCAGCCTTCTTGGTATAGTGGAGTGATGGTTAATTTGCATATTACTCTTATATTAGGTAGAACTAGATGCCTGTTGCAAGAAGATTCCTGCAAGAACAGGGCTTCCAGCAGGCTTCCCTCTTGCCACTGCCACCTCTCCCACCCCCTACCCCTGCGCTTTCCCTGCTGCCTCTGCCCCCACCCACCACCCCATGCTTTTTCTCCCACTGCCGCTACTGCGGCTCCCCACTCCCCTGTCCCTGCGCTTTCCTTTCTGCCACTGTTGCCCAATGCTTTCCCTTTGGCTCCCACCCTGCACTTTTCCACCGCCTGCCCTTCCCTCCCACAGCTACCATGCTTCCTGCTTTCCCTCCCTCTTCCTTCTATGCTGTTTTCAGTCTTCACTCCTTCCTCCCTCAGTGTATGCAAATTAACTGCCATCTTTTTTGGGTTAATTTATATACTTGCTCTGATTGGTTGTGGGCGTAGCAAAGGAATGGTCAATTAGCATTTTTCTCTTTTATTAGTGTAGATGATTTATTAGGTAGGATGATGTTGGTATTATCATCAGCCTCATTTGACAGAACATAGGGTTTAGAAAGATTAGGTTATTTTCCTAAGTTCACATAGCTTAATAGATTTCTGAAAAGAAATGATGGTAGTAGAGGTGGTGGGATAAACCTGAATTTCATCTCTCCCTTAACTAGAACAGTCCAGGCTATCCAGTAGGAGAAAACACCTCTGAATATCAGTAGCTTAATCAATAGACTCTACTAGTTCTGTGTGGGTTGGCAGTGTAAACTCAGAGACCCTGGCTCATGTTTCATTTTGATACATTATTTCACCATATGATCACTGATTACCATGTAGGCAAGAGTATACTACAGTGACTGTAACTAAAATGTAATATGTGTGCTTGAAAATCATTTTTCACATTTCACTGGCCAAAACAAGTAACATGCCATTCTCAATTTTAAGGTAGAAATGCACTTATGCCATGAACCTAGAAGTAGTCAAACCAAACTGTTTGGTATTAATGATTACCACAAACACTTGGACCCTGGGCAGGTCAGGCCTCATTTAGTCTCAGTTCTCCTACCCACAAAATGAGCACAATCATTTTGTAAGGATCCCTTGTGATATTCAAATAGGGATGTTAGTCACTGTTATGAAGAAGAAAGGTTGCACCCAACCAAAAATTCCCATCTGCTGAATATCTTGGTGTACCATCACAGGTGGCTCTGGAGCTCTTCATACAGAACTGTCTTCAGAATGGTCTTTGTCCAATATTTTTCCATGTGAATGTTTTTGTCACTCACACACCTGAAATTGTGAATGATATAGCATACATTTCAATCAACAACATGCTATTATCATAGTCCCAGTCCTGGGTAGAAAGCTCAGTCTGGTACCATCAGCTGTCCAAGTTCATGTTGAAAGATTTTTTACTACTTTGGCTTGAGCATGTGAGCTGGTGGTTGCCCATGTGAGTACTCCTTCCTCTATACTCTGAGCTCTCAGGTGCTGTTTACTTGGTATCTCTCAGTTTCACTCCACAGATCCTCACCAGGATGTCTGATTTGAGTCAGGCATAAGCTAAGCCACAGAGACTCCTTTGCCAATGAAGGAATGACAGAGCTGAAAGTAGAACAAAAATATACCCTTAAAAAGAGCAATTCCTGCACCGCTGGGGTGGCTCAGTGGTTGAGCATGGACCTAAGAATCATGAGGTCACTTCCTGGTTCACAGTTGGATTCCTGGTCAGGGCACATGGTTAGGTTGGGGGCTCATCCCCAGTAAGGGGCAGTCAATCAATGATTCTCACTCACCAATGATGTTTCTATCTCTCCTCCCTTCCTGTCTGAAATAAATAAACAAACAAACAAACAAATAAGGCATTTTCCAAAGTTCCTTGAAAATAGTAGCAACAACTTTGCCAGAGCACTTTGCTGCTCCTCTCCTATGGGTGTTTTTTTTAGATTATTCACCCATTTCCTAGACCCTATGATAGACTAGGCTCTGAACTTAGTATGTGTGCATGCACCACGTTTTCATTTGGGTTTCACAGCAGGTGTGAGAACCTGGTACACAACAGGTATTCAATAAATGTTCACTGCTTCTGAAGATTCTTGTGATGACTTCTTTGTAGACTTAGTGTCTAACTAGCAATTACGCTAAACTTTAGGCCCTAAGTTTTTTATGAAGCTAAAACAAGGCCAAAATGCAGGAGGGGAAAATAGAAGGGCGAGGAAAGGAGGACATTTCAGCAGAGAGAGCAGGTGTACAGGCAGGAAAGCTCAAAGTACCACTGAACACGGGGACTGTATCACCTCCCAGGAAGGTTTAAACAGTAGGCTAAAGAGGGAGGTTGAAGCTAGATGCTAGTAGAGGGTTGGGGTTTACTGTCAAAGTCCAGAGGAAGTAACCGCAGGACTTAAATGGGGCAATAAAAAAAAATGCGTAAAAGAAACAGTGGTGCATCAAATACCACAGCCAAGAGCTCCAACAACTGAAAGGCAGGATGGGTGGAGAAAACACAGTAGGCTCCTAAAGCTTCCTCTTATTTATGAGCGCTCCTGTTTCACGTAGGTATTAGCTAGCTAAACGCTGACTTCTCTGACCCCGCCCCAACCCGCCAGGAGAGCTGGAGGAACACCGCCTCGCTCCGTCACGTGGCCTGAAGCGCCCTTGGTACGTGACCTACCTCGAGCTTGGCCAATCAGCCCCAGTAGGGGCAAACATGCAAGTCCCAGGGGCGGGAACACTAGTTCAGGTCGCCTCTTCTCGCGAGTGTTGCCGCTCTCACGCCTCAGCCAAGATCTCGCGACGCTTGGGCGCTGCGGCGGTAGGAGGAGGACGGCGAAGGACGGAGCGGTGTCGCCGCTACTTTCTTGCTCACTCCCTCGCTCTGCCGCCCGCCCCCTCCCTCCCTCCCCTCCCTTTCCCGGCCCTGGCCCGGGCTCCGGCCCCGGCCTTTTTGCTCTTGGGTCTTCTGCAGAGAGGATGTCGGGCTCGACGCTCCCCAGCGCTTTGGTCATCTCGCTGTTGCTGGTCTCCCTCCTCCCAGGGCCAGGCGCTGCTCAGAACGGTAAGCGGGCGCTGGAGCGGCCAGGCCTGAGTTGGTGCCGGAGCCCGGGGGAAGGAGCGGGTGGGAGAGTTTGAGGGGCTGCGGGCCCGCGGGGAGAAGAGACGGTCGGGAGTTGGGGGCGCGGGAGTGAGAACTGGAGCCGCGAGGGCGTCGACCCGAGCCCGAGGATACTGCCGGCTTAGAGGCGCCAAGTCGTGGGGCACGTCGCTCCGAGGCAGGGAGGGAACACCCAGGAAGCCCAAGTGGGGAGCTGGAGTAGCGGGCGGAGGAGGAGGGCACGCAGCTTTTAATGAAGGCGGACGGGAGCCCTGGCCGTGTGGCTCAGTTGGTTGAGCATTGGCCTGTGCTTCAGATGCTGGTTGGATTCCCTGTCAGGGCTCATCCCAGGTTGCGGGTTCAGTCCTTGGACCCGATGTTTTTCTCTCACATCGATGTTTCTTTCTTTCTCCTCCCTTCCTCTCTCTAAAATCAATAATATATATATATATATATATATATATATATATATATATATATATATAGGCGGCGTTTGTGTTTGAGGAGGAAAGGGCGAGTGGTGGCGTGATCTGCAGGAGAGTGGAGGTCTGGAAATTAGGGGGTCGTAGGATTCTGCTGGGACCCATAAGACAGGTGACATGTCCAAAAAAAAAGGGAGGCGTTGGGGAAAAGTGCGTCCAGGAGAAAACTGAGCAGAATGCTAGTGTCCTAAGGAGGAGATGAAAAATCTGGGAGCCATGAATGTGGAGGTGGAGGGAAGGTGGGTGGAAAGCTAAGGGGGTGGGTTGACTGCAATAGGGGATCTGGGAAGCGCTGCTTAGCCCTAAAGGAGATGGGGAAGATGGGGAAGAAGGCTGGGTTTGCTGAGAAGGGTTGAATGTTGGGCATTCTAGAATAACGGTTGGAAGAGCAAAAAGGAGTTTCTAAATAACGAGAGGAAAAATGAGCAAAGGATGGGGAAGAAGGATTGTAACTGAGGTAGGGAAAATATTATGGAAAGAAGGGTGCCTGTTAGAGACGTGGAGGTGGGTGAAGACAGAAAATAAGGGAAGGGAGTAAAATGCAGGAAGCTGGCAGTGTAGTGTTGGTTTGCAGTGTGGAGGATATATTAAGGAAGGGAGCAACTGAGTAGTGGCAAGCACTTATGATAGTGATTGAGCCTTTGGGAAGGCAGGGGCACATAGCTGCAACTGCAGTACGATTGAGGACAGTTACTGGAGAGAGGGGGATGGATGACAGTTTTAAGATCTAAAAGTTTCAAGACATAAAAAAGATTATTTCTGAGAACATAAAAGTATTACCAGGGACGTGTGTAAGTGTAGTGCAAACGAGAGAATTGGATTTTGAGCTGAAGCTCTTTAGAGAAGGTGGAGAAATGGGGAATCATGGTGCTACGGGATCTATCCTGGACAGAAAAGATTCTGATTGTTGAAGGCGTGTGTGATAATTCAGCTGCTGAATTGGCATTTCAGATAATTGTGAACAAGTTTCTGCTCTTGTGGAAACAACCTTTAAGAGATTTAAAAATATTTTTATAGGGGAGAATTTATGAGCAGTAGAAGAGAGTGAACTACAACTTATTTTTGCTAATCCTTCCATGCTTCTTTGTTGTTAGGCTAGATTACTCTTGTTAGAATAGCTGAAATTTAAATGACTCATTTAAAAAAGTGATAGAGCAAATGGAGTTAATCATTCTAAGGAGAAATGCAGTCTTAAAATGCTTAAGATTACAGTGAACATTTATCTAATAAAGGATTGAAAAAATATCATGGACTAATTATAAGTGTTTGTTGTACCAAATTGGACCGTTCAAATCCTGTGTATGCTTTGATGGCCTTGAGTTATCACTGCAAGGATCGGGAAGGAAATATTTTCTGTCTATAGCATTGAATGTGTTAAATATATTGGGTATTTTTCCTGTTTTTCCCCAAAGATGAGGTCATTGTGGAAGGCAGCATAGGGCTAGACTGATTTGTCTTACCAATTTTTAGTTGTGTGTTAACAATATGACTTAAAGAAGCCCAATATTAATTTGAGCTGTTTGATATGTGGAAATAGCATGGTTTCATTTGGCACCATAGAGGAGATATTCTTGATCTTAACATTAACATCTTTAATCTCTGCTACCATAACATCTTTCAATGACTGGTAATAAAGCAGAATTGTTTCTTAGCAACTAAAGCAAGGTTTTTGGATAGGCCTTCAGACTTATCTGGCAGTTCTAAATATGGCATAGTGCATCCTTTTTCTTGAAATGGCTTAAGTTCAGTCACATGACAAGACTGATAAAGTGAAGTTGAGTTGCTAGTTGACCCAAAGAATTATGTAAATTTAAGTAATGAAGATATGGCTATTTGAGTTTGAATCCACATAGGTAAAGATATTTAAAAAAACAACTTTCTATAGCATAGTAAGATTCAAACTTCTATTGGTAATAGCCCTATAGAGTGACCTCAGGTCATGGAGTTTGTATTTTTTATTTTATTTTATTTTAAGTAAAAAATTAGAATATATTTATCAGACTTTTCAAAACTCATTCTTGAGATGTTTTTGTTTAAAGTTCCAGAAGCATTTACTTTGTCCTCAGTGATACTAGGGTTGTGAGAACTAACTGAAGCAAGGTTCTGAAAGAAAAGGGTGAAACTAAACTCCCAGGTGAAAAAAATTAGAGAATGTCTGTAGATGTGAGGGTGATCTACTGCACTGTCTGTCCCAGCAAGGATTCCTTTCTCATATCACTCCAGAGCTCTGCAGTGGAGCGTGCTTCTCAGCTTGGACAGGACCGTCTTCTGTTAAAGCAAAAATTGATACAGTGCACATGTAACTGGAACTCTACTAGAACTTTGTCAGCTTTATTTCATTTGAATCACTCAATGGCAGCTAATGGTGTATGCTCTGTACCACACAGGCTCCTCTGGAGTTAAATGGTTAGATCCCAGTCCCTTTATTCTTTAGTGGTATGATCATGGGCAAGTTATTTAATTCTCTTGACTCTTGATTTCCTCATCTTCTCTGATGTGGGTTGGACCTGGTGAAGAACCAAGGCAGTGGCAGTGACTCCAGAGGTGGAGGAGTCTGTGAGTTTGTATTTTCTTTATATATTTTATTGAGTTTTTTTTTTTTTTTTTTAACAGAGAGGAAGGGAGAGGGATAGAGACTTAGAAAAATCAATGAGAGAGAAACATCGATTAGCTGCCTCCTGCACACCCCCTATTGGGGATGTGCCTGCAACCAAGATACATGCCTTTGACCAGAATCGAACCAGGGACCTTCTGTCCTTCAGGCTGACATTCTAGCCACCAAGCCAAACCAGTTAGAGTTGTATTTTCTTAAAGTGCTTCAGAAATGGATATCATGATGTTGAAATGTTAGAGTATCTATTTAAAACGATGACTTAAAAAAACAACACCCAAACCTTTATGTTTCTGGATTGGATATGTGGTAGTTTAAATTGAATATAGATGTTTTTCAAAAGGTCTGTTTCATTATTCATAAAAGGAAGAATTTGAACTGGATGACCCTCAAGGTCTCTTCCACCTGTGACCCATTACCATAGAGATTCAAGGCTTTCATTCAGATTTGGTTTCTCATCCAAATATTTAAACTTGTAGGATGACAGTTTTTTTTGTGTGTTTTTTTTTAATATATTTTATTGATTTTTTACAGAGAGGAAGGGAGAGAGATAGAGAGCTAGAAACGTCGATGAGACAGAAACATGGACCAGCTGCCTCCTGCACACCCCCTACGGGGGATATGCCCGCAACCAATGTTCATGCCCTTGACTGGAATCGAACCTGGGACCTTTCAGACTGCAGACTGATGCTCTACCACTGAGCCAAACCGGTTTCGGCAGGATGACAGTTTTAAGTAAAATCTTTAAAGTTGATTTTTGTATGTAATAAATGTAGTTCATTTTAAAGGAAGAAACTTGTCCTAAAAGTAACCCTCCTATTTAGACTTGCCAAGAGCTTTAAAATTAAAATTAAATGAATGTAAGCCAAGCATTATTATATGGTAGTCGAGAGCATAGTCTTTGGATCCTGACATACCTGAATTTGAGTCCCAAACCTCAGTAGCTAAGTGACCTTGAGTAAGGTGCTTAATACTTTCAAGCCTCAGTTTTATCATCTGTAAAATATAAATTTTTTAATATTTATAATGTCAATCCCATAGGGATGGTTTGAGGATTAATGAGATAATGGCCATCAAGCACTTAGATTTCTGCCTGGTGTATAATCTCAGTAGGGTTTATATTTTTACTGTATATAATACTTGTTACTATATGTTACTATAATGTAACATTTATGCTACATTACTTTATGTATTTAATCAATATTGAGAGTGAGTAGTATGTAAGTTCTGTTAACTGTTCATACTAAATACTCTCAATATTGAATAAATGTTAGCTATTACTACTATAATACTTTAAAAAGTAGCATTATTAATTAGTTATTTTTTATGTATATATTGAACATTTGTTAATGCTGTCATCTTGAATGCAATTAAGTAGGCTATTTAAAGGTCCCAGAGAGTTGCACTTTTGCATATGTAACTTTAAGAAAAGTGAGAAGCAATACTGCAATTTCAGATTCTGGTGAGGAAGTTTGCATTTTTATTTCATTGCCTTGGAATAAATAAGCCTTCCGTCTCTCAGACAACTGACCAAAGTGTCACTACTGACATGATGGAGCAACCAAGCATGAGAAATTAGTCAGGGGTCTAGGATGGAAAGGTCATGTTACTATATCAAGATCTGTTGGTGGGCGCTTAGTGTTTGTTTTTCAAGGTTACTGAATTCATATTAGTGATGCAGATGGTTTTAGACATAGGTCTGACTGAGTGAATTTTACAAATGCTCATGAGAAATTAGACTGTTTTGTCTTAAAGGAATCTTTTATTTTTCTCAATACAATTTTGATATGAAATATTTTCTGTTGTGGAGTATACAACTAGACAGTAATAAAAGGCAAGTTATTTTATTATTCTTACTTAAAAAATAATTG